AACCGCATCACTACCACACCATACAACTGCATCACTACCACACCAGACAACTGCACCACTACCACACCAGACAACTGCACCACTACCACACGAGACAACTGATTCACTACAACACCAGACAACTTAATCACTACCACACCAGACAACTGCTTCACTGCCACGCCAGACAACTGAAACACTCTCACGTCAGACAACTGCATTACTACCACACGGGACAACTGCATCACTCTCACACCAGACAACTGAGCCACTACCACAAAGGACAACTGCATTACTACCACACGGGACAACTGCATCACTACCACACCAGACAACTGCATCACTCTCACACCGGATAACCGCATCACTACCACACCATACAACTGCATCAATACCACACCAGACAACTGCATCACTACCACACGAGACAACTGAATCACTACCACACCAGACAACTTAATCACTACCACACCAGACAATTTAATCACTACCACACCAGACAACTGAAACACTCTCACGTCAGACAACTGCATTACTACCACACCAGACAACAGCACCACTACCACACAGGACAACTGCATTTCACACCGGACAACTGCATCACTACCACACCAGACAACTGTACCACTACCACACAGGACAACTGCATTTCACACCGGACAACTGCATCACTACCACACCAGACAACTGCATCACTACCACACCGGATAACCGCATCACTACCACACCATACAACTGCATCACTCTCACACCAGACAACTGCACCACTACCACACCAGACAACTGCACCACTACCACACGAGACAACTGAATCACTACCACACCAGACAACTTAATCACTACCACACAAGCCAACTGCTTCACTGCCACACCAGACAACTGAAACACTCTCACGTCAGACAACTGCATTACTACCACACGGGACAACTGCACCACTACCACACCAGACAACTGCACCACTCTCACACCGGATAACCGCATCACTACCACACCAGACAACTGCATCACTATCACACGGGACAACTGCACCCCTACCACACCGGACAACTGCATTACTACCACACGGGACAACTGCATCACTCTCACACCAGACAACTGCGCCACTACCACACCAGACAACTGCATTACTACCACACGGGACAACTGCATCACTCTCACACCGGACAACTGCGCCACTACCACAAAGGACAACTGCATTACTACCACACGGGACAACTGCATCACTCTCACACCAGACAACTGCGCCACTACCACAAAGGTGAACTGCATTACTACCACACGGGACAACTGCATCACTCTCACACCAGACAACTGAGCCACTACCACAAAGGACAACTGCATTACTACCACACGGGACAACTGCATCACTACCACACCAGACAACTGCATCACTCTCACACCGGATAACCGCATCACTACCACACCATACAACTGCATCAATACCACACCAGACAACTGCATCACTACCACACGAGACAACTGAATCACTACCACACCAGACAACTTAATCACTACCACACCAGACAACTTAATCACTACCACACCAGACAACTGAAACACTCTCACGTCAAACAACTGCATTACTCCCACACCAGACAACAGCACCACTACCACACAGGACAACTGCATTTCACACCGGACAACTGCATCACTACCACACCAGACAACTGCATCACTACCACACTAGACAACTGCATCACTCTCACACCGGATAACCGCATCACTACCACACCATACAACTGCATCACTCTCACACCAGACAACTGCACCACTGCCACACCAGACAACTGCACCACTACCACACGAGACAACTGAATCACTACCACACCAGACAACTTAATCACTACCACACAAGCCAACTGCTTCACTGCCACACCAGACAACTGAAACACTCTCACGTCAGACAACTGCATTACTACCACACGGGACAACTGCACCACTACCACACCAGACAACTGCACCACTCTCACACCGGATAACCGCATCACTACCACACCAGACAACTGCATCACTACCACACGGGACAACTGCACCCCTACCACACCGGACAACTGCATTACTACCACACGGGACAACTGCATCACTCTCACACCAGACAACTGCGCCACTACCACACCAGACAACTGCATTACTACCACACGGGACAACTGCATCACTCTCACACCGGACAACTGCGCCACTACCACAAAGGACAACTGCATTACTACCACACGGGACAACTGCATCACTCTCACACCAGACAACTGCGCCACTACCACAAAGGTGAACTGCATTACTACCACACGGGACAACTGCATCACTCTCACACCAGACAACTGCGCCACTACCACAAAGGACAACTGCATTACTACCACACGGGACAACTGCATCACTACCACACCAGACAACTGTATCACTCTCACACCGGATAACCGCATCACTACCACACCATACAACTGCATCAATACCACAAGGGACAACTGCATCACTCTCACACCGGACAACTGCATCACTACCACACCAGACAACTGCATCACTCTCACACCATACAACTGCATCACTCTCACACCAGACAACTGCACCACTACCACACGACACAACTGATTCACTACAACACCAGACAACTACATTACTACCACACCAGACAACTGCATCACTCTCACACCAGACAACTGCATCACTCTCACACCAGACAACTGCACCACTACCACACGAGACAACTGAATCACTCTTACACCAGACAACTGCATTACTACCACACCAGACAACTGCATCACTACCACACAGGAAAACTGCATCACTACCACACAGGACAACTGCATCACTACCACACCAGACAACTGCATCACTACCACACCAGACAATTGCATAACTACCACACGAGACAACTGCATCACTACTACACCAGACAACTGCATCACTACCACACCAGACAACTGCACCACTACCACAATAGACAACTGCATCCCTACCACAATAGACAACTGCATCCCTACCACACCAGACAACTGCATCACTCTCACACCAGACAACTGCATCACTACCACACCAGACAACTGCATCCCTACCACACCAGACAACTGCACCACTACCACACCAGACAACTGCATCCCTACCACACCAGACAACTGCATCGCTACCACACCAGGCAACTGCATCACTACCACATCAGACAACTGTATCACTCACACACCTGGCAACTGCATCACTACCACACCAGACAACTGCATCACTACCACACCGGACAAATGCATCACTACCACACCAGACAACTGCATCACTACCACACCAGACAACTGCATCACTACCACACCAGACAATTGCATCCCTACCACACCAGACAACTGCATCACTTTCACACCAGACAACTGTATCAATCTCTCACCAGACAACTGCATCACTACCACACCAGACAACTGCACCACTACCACACCAGACAACTGCGCCACTACCACACCAGACAACTGCACCACTACCACACCAGACAACTGCACCACTACCACACCAGACAAGTGCATCCCTACCACACCAGACAACTGCATCACTACCACACCAGACAACTGCACCACTACCACACCAGACAACTGCATCACTACCACACCAGACAATTGCATCCCTACCACACCAGACAACTGCATCCCTACCACACCAGACAACTGCATCACTTTCACACCAGACAACTGTATCAATCTCTCACCAGACAACTGCATCACTACCACACAGGACAACTGCATCACTACCACACCAGACAACTGCACCACTACCACACAGGTCAACTGCACCACTACCACACAAGACAATTGCATCACTCTCACACCAGACAACTGCATCACTACCACACCAGACAACTGCATCGCTACCATACCAGACAACTGCATCACTCTCACACCAGACAACTGCATCACTACCATACCAGACAACTGCACCACTACCACACATGACAACTGCATCACTACCACACATGACAACTGCATCACTACCACACCAGACAACTCCATCACTACCACACAGGACAACTGCACCACTACCACACAAGACAATTGCATCACTCTCACACCAGACAACTGCATCATTCTCAAACGGACAACTGTACCACTACCACACCAGACAACTGCATCGCTACCATACCAGACAACTGCATCACTCTCACACCAGACAACTGCATCACTACCATACCAGACAACTGCACCACTACCACACCAGACAACTGCATCACTATCACACATGACAACTGCATCACTACCACACCAGACAACTGCAGCACTCTCACACCAGACAACTTCATCACTCTCACATCGGGCTTCTGCATCACTACCACACAGGACAACTTTCTCGATATCATCTGATGTAAGAACACAGAAAGCAAAACGCATTAATCTTGACAGCTGTTGGCTTAAAGGAATACAGAAGAGATGCAAAACACATATAATTGACACCAACAGCAAATGGAACCAAAAATGCAATAATCTAAAGTATCGATCATTCCAGACTAGCTTATTGGTTGGTTGTAATAGGATATTACGGATTTCAAATATTAACCTTTTTTTGTGATGGGTGTTGAATGGTCCAGTCCAGTCAGGGGAGCATAGTGTGTGTGTGTATGTGTGTGTGTGTGTGTGCGTGCGTGCGTGCGTGCGTGCGTGCGTGCGTGCGTGTGTGTGTGTGTGTTGGGGGGGGGGGGGGGGGGGGGGCACTTTGACCATGTGTATCTTCAATTAGGGATTACGATATATAAACCGTTATAACTTTTACTTTAAGAAACAAATTTGTCATGGTAACACTTTGGGGTGTTAGGTGTTTAACATTTAACATAAAACAGACGAAATTGACTTGGCTTCGTCGGCACACAAATTTCATTACTCGTTTCTAATATAGTGTCAGTAACATTGACAGCTTATTAACAGCGATAAATAACATTCTTCTTACACACTAGAAACGGTTCCGCTTAAAATTATCGCTTTCCAGGTAAATCAGAGAATCGAACCACACATGATGAATTGCAACGCAAATTTTCCCACGTACAGGTAAATGGTAATCAACAGAGTTACCTGCCCGTGTCAGGTAAGATGTCGCGTAAACACATGGCCGCCAGTTGACTCAGGATAGGTGACAAAGTGGCAGTGGCGGATTGTTGAGCGTTCATGTAACTACTGAACCCAAGTGACCGATGTGCCTCAGCGTCCCGTCCCATTTCCTTACGAGGTGGTCGTAGTGGCGGTAGATTATATACTGAACGGTGCAGGGGCGACTTTGTTCCCATACAGCGACGGGCACAGGACAGTCAGAGACAACGGAAATAGGTTGAGACGAGGTGAGGTCGCCGGTCACATTGTCAATTCTATTTCTCTATCCGCCATTGAGTGCCACTGATCTTCTACTGTGTAGCGGATTTCTGTCGTTATTTTCAACAGATAAAACTTGGAACAGTGGAGTTACTTTGAGGTAAGTCTTTTAGTGGTGTCATTTTAAAAAATGCCATTGTCTTTCTCAATATTACAATCGTCATAAATCGTTGTTATGATATTTATTTTTCGATAATATTGTCACAAGTATATTTTTCCAGTCTTTGTACCAAAATCATGTACAAACTATATATGTTATTGTCTCAATGATGCTAACAGGGTGTTCAAATCTCATTCTGTTGGCTTTTTTTGTTGTGTGAATATATTTACATAGGCCACGGTTTATAAAAATATGTACATTGTCTTGTGGGGCAATATACACACTTATGACTGATGTTGAGATTTGTAATATCAATCGCATCTTGATCAATGCCCCAACCTTGAATGAGCATACATACCACTGTACTCTGTGCTATGCAGCTGGGTCATGTTCACGATTCTCGCAACAGATGTTTATCAAAATGTTTTCATACGTATACAATGTTTCTCCGACCTACATATGTTTGTTGTATTAATCTGTACAGTCAGTAAAAAGTGGTATTGTGTTGAAAACCACTACACCTCCGGAATAGTCTATTGATGCACATATACAATCGCGCAACTAGGAAATACCAGTCCGCCCCCGCGTGTGTGTCACCCTCTGTGAATAAGGTTATCTAATCGAAGTCACCAGTCAGATAATCCCCTTTCAAGTGCTGAACAATGTTGCGATGGTTTATGCCACAATGTGTTTTGCTTGTGTGCTTGGTCGGTCATGCAGACAAGAGGTCGGGTTACGTAAGTGGTCAACGTAACCACTGGACCATCACAGTGAGACCAGGTGTGGCGTTCTCCCAGAACCAGTACACGCGTCAGACAGTCAGTCAGCAATATACTGTTCGGACATTTAAATTGCTAAGGAATAATTAATACTTGCATCCTCGTGGCTATTATGTCCTCAGGGCTGGGACAATTTATTGCCATAAATAGGGATGTTGTTGTTTGAACAGATGGCTGATTAGTAGTACTGCTTCAGGAAGACAAGATATGTTACCATGAATACCGAGGGATGTATCTATTTCATCTCACAATGTGATAGGGATAAACAGTTATGTTATTTTATTATAAACTTAGCATATTATGAGAATCAGTTTTGTGTATAATGGAAGGGTAAAAATATCAAAAGAGGTGTGGTATGTATTCTACGAACATCGTGGCGAATGGAACAAATAAACAAACCAAATGTTCTTATCAATATCATTATACATGTATAGCGTAAGGATTTATGCATTCTTTTGAAATGGTCTATGCGATATTACAACAGTTATATAAGAGTCGTGAAGGGCTACTATGATACAATGTTAGGTAAGAAGGGTAATTAGTAAGAGCAGGGACCTGCAACATACAACACTCCCTGTTTATGTAATACGTACCCGTATTCTTATTTTATGATCCATTAGTTAAATATCAATTGAATAGTTAACATTTATCAAAGTATTAGTTCACAACTTCAGCAATTATCGTCTGATGGGGTTTTGAATAACAACTAAGGGGGGGGGGGGGGGGGGGGGGGTCACGTTCGTGCTATATTCCTGGCTTCAGGTCGTTGGTATGTGTATCATGGTAACATAAATCACACCCAAATGACTTACTAGTATCAACATTGTTTTTCTACAAATACATATGTTTAAACCGCACAGAACGCCACAATTTAGAGGAAGCGTGTGAAATTGACAATAAAGGTTTATGAAAAAAACACCTTTATGAATCTTATCTTCATTAGAACTAAATGTAAACACAACTTAAAGGACCACTTCACATGTATGTGCTTCATGAAACCACAATATTGTTTTTAAAAGCACACATGCATAATTACTTTCCACATACCTACACACATAACATGTATATCTAGTGTGGTCATGGTCGGTGACGTAGTGAACCGCCTGTCATAGAGAGTGAGTTTAAATTTAACGTCGCATCGGCATTATTTCCGCCATAGTGCGACGCGTGTGATACTGCCGTGACAGTCTGAGGTGTTGATCATGATATCAATCACTGGGTTCTCAGGTCCAGATTCGATTGTTTCAAGCCCTGGTGAGTATGGTTTTACGCCGCTTTTAGCAATATTCCAGCAATATCACGGCGGGGGACACCAGAAATGGGCTTCACACATTGTACTCATGTGGGTAATCGAACCCGGGTCTTCGGCGTGACCACTAGGTTGCCCAACAAGCCCTGGTATATCTGGATCCTTGACAACAAACACGCATTGTGTCCAGGGTTTGTCGTTCGTTCCACACGACTAAAGATATAGAAGTCTATTACAAAGCTTAGCTTTAGATGTAAACCTTAACATAAAGTCCCGCACTTTATGTACACAGAGCAGACACTTCCGGGTCATGTGTCTCCTAGTACATGTCAGTTAGTCATGATTAGCTACTCAAGGATTGTTTAGATTTTGTATGTGAATGACGGCAATACATGCATGTTGCCATGCTATGTAGTCGCTGTTGCCTGTCCTTGCCGTGTGGATGGTTCGATTCCCTGGCCGTGTCACATAAAATACGCTACTTGTTGTTTCACTGCCTGACGCTCGGCATTAAGGAGATAAAACATGGTCGGCTCGGAGTCAGTATAATATGTCTGATTGGGATATCCGTGTCAACTGCGGCATGGACAAGGCTCGTTTAGACCAGAACGTGCAGCCATGCTTACGTATTAGTGAGATAATCTTGGACGCGACGGTTGAACCTTGTGACATATTTATGAAATTATCTCTCTTTATCATGTTGCCTGTGGTAACTAACTGTATACAGTAGTCGATTACATATAATTGCGATATATCGGCTAAATGCAACCTCATTAAAATCAGATCTTAGCTCTACCTATCGTTGAACAAGGATCTGAGAACATCACATCACGGGTCACGTCAGGACGACCTTTCATCCGACCAATCAGAGCGTCGCTTACCAGAACAGGAACGTATCTGTCGGATGTGTTTTCTTATCTTGCAACCTCGAAATGCTTAACACGAGGTATTCCGAACGTCAGTTACAGACTGTACGACTGATTCCGTCAAAATCGCTTCAATTGGGAAACAAAACATTTGAAACGGAAGAGACTTTGCATATCCCGTGGAAAATTCTGCCATACAATCTCGGTCATCTATTAGACATTCCAGAATTTTTGTTTGTTCATTTTTCAAATTTGAAATCGATAATTTTCAAAGCGTTGCCTGGAATGAAAATCGCCAGTTTCAAGCTTGTGTCGTAAAGTTCGAGACAGCTGTGTTCTCATTGGCTAATGTCAACCTCTTGTGAGTAATTTAAATGGTCGTCAAAGTTGTCTAAAGGTCGTTCTAACGTAACCCGTAATTGGGTGTCCTCAGATCTTTTAGTGGTGGCGAGAACTAACATCTGATTGTAATGAGATCAGGCTGAATGTACATAGCGAGATAGAGTGCATGGTGAGGAGGCACATCCCCCGTAAATGATCCCTGTTGACCGACAAACTAAGTCATATTTCATAGCCCCATTCTCACCCTAAAACTGTCTATGCCTGAGCGACCGGGTATTTGCAGACAGGATTAATGGTTCAGCTGTTAAGTCAACAGTTTTATGACTGAATAATTCGCAACTGTACTGTGTACGGCTAATGTATCGGAGGCGTTGACGCTGCAGCGTTATACACTCTGCTATTTCACCTGATTTTCAAGGATATGCCATGGATATGTCATGGATATACCATGTATTTAAATAATGTGTAAAACCTTTTCCCACCGCAGGATAGTCACCTCGTTGTCTTTCCGTATGATACCCGGTACTTTTTGATTTTTTGATGGGTTGCTGAAGACTAATCCTAACCCCGATTTTCACGGGTCAGAAACGTGAAGAATATTATTTGCACCGTGCAGCACATTTGTTACGCTCTAAATGAATGCAAGTGAATGTGTCTAGAAGACATCTTAAATAGAGGTGATGACAAAGTAGTTTACTGCAGGAACATGTACGAATAGCTGCTTTAGTTCTAGATACCTCATGAATGGTATGTGACTAAATCTACATATTGTTACGCACGAGACGTGCACCGGACACAAACTGTCATTAACTAGAGTACCGGGGATAATTGTCGATGTAGATAAATACTCAGGATGTAGGGCTGTTTTCACAATGGTAGATAAGTGCTGCCAACTTCCTTCCTCCAGCGTCGATACACCACACGACGGCGATGACGTCAATAGTGAGGTCAGTGTCGATACACCACACGACGGCGATGACGTCAATAGTGAGGTCAGTGTCGATACACCACACGACGGTAATGACGTCATTAGTGAGGCCCGCGTCGATACACCACCACGACGGTAATGACGTCATTAGTGAGGTCAGTGTCGATACACCACACGACGGTGATGACGTCATTAGTGAGGTCAGTGTCGATACACCACCACGACGGCGATGACGTCATTAGTGAGGCCAGTGTCGATACACCACACGACGGTAATGACGTCATTAGTGAGGCCCGCGTCGATACACCACCACGACGGTAATGACGTCATTAGTGAGGCCCGCGTCGATACACCACACGACGGCGATGACGTCATTAGTGAGGCCAGTGTCGATGCACCACCACGACGGTAATGACGTCATTAGTGAGGCCAGTGTCGGATACACCACCACGACGGTAATGACGTCATTAGTGAGGCCCGCGTCGATACACCACACGACGGCGATGACGCCAGCAGGAGGTCAGCGTCGATACACCACACGACGGCGATGACGTCATTAGTGAGGCCCGCGTCGTACACCACCACGACGGTAATGACGTCATTAGTGAGGCCCGCGTCGATACACCACACGACGGCGATGACGTCATTAGTGAGGCCAGTGTCGATACACCACACGACGGTGATGACGTCAATAGTGAGGCCCGCGTCGATACACCACTACGACGGTATGACGTCAGTAGTGAGGCCCGCGTCGATACACCACACGACGGCGATGACGTCATTAGTGAGGCCAGTGTCGATACACCACACGACGTGATGACGTCAATAGTGAGGCCCGCCGTCGATACACCACCACGACGGTAATGACGTCATTAGTGAGGCCCGCGTCGATACACCACCACGACGGTAATGACGTCAGTAGTGAGGTCCGCGTCGATACACCACACGACGGTGAGGATGCCAGTAGTGAGGTCAGCGTCGATACACACACGACGGTGATGACGCCAGTAGGAGGTCAGCCGTCGATACACCACACGACGGTGATGACGCCAGTAGTGATTGAAGAACACACAAGCATGTGCATACGCCCACATACCCAACCACGAGACAAGAGTACATGTTTCGTTTTCAGAAACTTAACCCGGAAACAAAAATCTGAAAAATGGCATTTTGCTGTTCTGAATCGTCGTCATTGTAACTACAAGTACTTTCTCAACAGGCTCGACTGCAGTACTATTCCCCCCCCCCCCCCCCCCCCCCCCCCCCCCCCCCCCCCCCCCCCCCCCCCCCCCCTCCTGTGTCATTTCCGTGGGATATATCTGTACAGCTGGGCCGGTGACAGTGGCCCAAAGAAAGGTTTTAGTTCTCAAAGATCTGTTTGTTGTTTGAAAACAAAATCAATATTGGAATAGGCCTGCGCCACGTACTTAGTGCAACAATTGTTTTGTACTTTTAGACGAGAGGGTAGAATTGTTTTATTTTCTTGTGTGGTGAAGTTAGTTTCCTTGAAATCTGTTTCAGTTATGGTTCACATGAGTCATGAATGTTTGTTTTGTCTTTTCCTTGTTTGGATTATGATATGCAGGACATTTTGGTATCACGTTACAACGCCGACACTTAATGTAGACTGACACGGGTGGCCCAGTGATCTAAAAAGTACTCATGGAAATGGAAAAAAACCTGTTTTGCTGGATTTAATAATCGACACAAAGCATAACGTAGATGTAAGTACGAAATAACAAAACAACTGGAAAAGTACTAGTCTGGATTTGCTAGTTTTATCTCAGTGCTCAATACAAAATGTACTTTACAGGAGGTAATTTGTAGGCACTTTCAACCTTCAAAAATTGAACTAAGTCCAAATTGACATTGCAGAAACAGGCTATAGGCATTATGCGAATTAGCCTGGAAAAAAGTTATCAAAACGACAATAAAAATAACAGCCATGTTTATGTACATAATAATAATGACATGTAAGTTGTTGTTTGAGAAGGGAATATGTTACTTTTACGTTCTGATATTTTGACGATGATTCACTATCCCACAATGCCACTACAAATCACTAACCATTGACAAATCACATGCACGTGGGTTTCAAGCACCTGTTTTCACCTGTCGTCAAGGTGTCATAGGTCATGGACATTCACCTTGATCTACTAACACCTGGTTATGCTCAGTTTCACAATAGTCTGTTTTGATACGATGTATTTGTGCCAAGGCCCAATTGGTACTAATTGCGTTGTTTAAATATATTTATATATTTTGTATATTAACTGCATTTATTTAAAATCTGAGATCGTAAAAACAGTTTTTTTTCATTTCCGTGAGTACTTTAATACTGCACATCTTACTGTGCACACTTGTGTCCCTTAGTCATGCCAGGAACCGCTGTCCGTGGGTCGCAGCTCAAGAGTCGCCCCGACAAAGACAATGGACTGTTAGCATATTTACTCGAACCTGCATATTTACCAGAAAGAACAATATTCATTTACTCATCGCCAATCTATACATCTTCTCACTCTCGAGCACAGAGCGGAAGGTCGGAGATTCGATCCCCGGCCGCGTCATTTCAAAAAACGTTAAAGAATGGTACTTGTTACCCTGCCTGGCGCTCGGCATGAAGGGGCAAAAATAAGGAGTGGTCGGCCCGGAGTTTTCTGTGTCTGAGTGGGGTACTCGTGTTAAACTGCGGCATGGTATCTCAGTGGGCTAGCACGATGAAATCAACATTAGTCGGCACACACACACACACACACACACACACACACACACACACACACACACACACGTGTGCATGCACGTCGTCGCTATATGTAAGTGCATTAATCTTGAACGCAACTCCATTTCATTCCCCTACTACTACTACTACTACTACTACTACTACTACTTCTACTCACCAATGCGCACATACACCGTGAATATTTGACCTATAGGAACCCATGCTTGTCGTAAGGGTGCGACTAACGGCATCGGATGGTCAGGCTCGCTGACTTGGTTGATGCATGTCAGCGTATCCCAATTGCGTAGATCGATGATCACGATGTCAATTACTGGATTGTCTGGTCCGGACTCGATTATTTACAGAGCGCCGTCATATAGCTGGAATATTGTTGAGTGCGGCGTTAAACAACAAACAAACAATGCGCACTCTTCCCTCACGAGCACTTCAGATACCTGTCGACCTTGTTCGTGCAACGTGCTCCTTTGCAGGTGTTCGTCATCAGTTCTGCCGCTCATGTAGTATTAATGACTTGACGATAGTTTGTTTTTCTTTCGTTCCAGCTATCAGTTAACGATGTCTCCCCGTGTCCGACGTGACCACGATCATAAGGAAAGCGATGCCAGGTATGTGGTGATGAATAATTTCAATAACATCTGACATATCTTTCCGCAATGAAGCTACTGTGAAAGTGTTACCTTTCTGGCGTTCGTGTTCTTCATCAGAAATATTTAATATGATATGCTTGATTATGATGAGAAGTGTCAATATTTCAACGCTGGTGGGGGGCACGGGTGGCCCAGTCGTCTAAGGCGCCGCGATTCGCTGTGCAGAGTTGCGTCCCTTGGGCACGCCAGAAACCTATGATTGTGGGTTCGAATCCAGGTTCGCCCCGATTATGTTTCTAGGTTTGTCAGCACCATACCCGTGCTCGTGGGTTTCACCGAAGTGGTAAACGTCTGAGACCTGCATCACTTCGAGCTTTCCTCCCACATTAAGCTGACACGCCGCGATGTAACTGGAATACTGTTAAAAGCGGTGTTAAACCCAACTCACTCAATCACTCAACGCTTGTGATTTGGAAAATGCCATAATTGCTCATGTCATAAAATATTCAGTATTCAACATGTTGAATGGGAACGGTTGCCGGAATATTCTAGCTACATTACGGCGGTCTGGACCAGACAATCCAGTGATTGACATCATGAGCATCGTTCCACGCAACTGGGAGACTATGACGTGCTTCAACCAAGTCGACCACCCGATCACATTAGTCGCCTCTTACGACAAGCATTGTCGCTTTTCACGACAAGCATGGGTGGCTGGAGACCTATCCCAAAGGGTCTCATCAAAATTAGTGAAAGTCCAGTGACAGTTTTGGTTCTGTTACGTCTAACATTACCTCACGTCCTAACACCCGACTCCTTACACCCGACCCCTTACACCCGACTCCGTACACCCGACTCCTTACACCCGACTCCGTACACCCGACTCCTTACACCCGACTCCGTACACCCGACTCCTAACACCCGACCCCTTACACCCGACTCCTAACACCCGACCCCTTACACCCGACTCCTAACACCCGACTCCTAACACCCGACTCCTTACACCCGACTCCTTACACCCGACTCCTTACACCCGACTCCTTACACCCGACTCCGTACACCCGACTCCGTACACCCGACTCCGTACACCCGACTCCGTACACCTAAGTCACTATGCCCATCTGACACTATTCCAGGAGCGAAGCTGAGTACAGGTTCCGACCACGACAACTCCGAAAATGTATCTACAACGCCTTAGCAACACCTCTGCCAGTAGAAGGCACAAAGTAAGTACATGCTACTGAATATGTTGAAGGCTTCTGTATGCGGCAGTTAGCAATATTCTCTATAACTGTGGCCCGAAGCAATACCCCACGTAAGCTTTTGCGACCAGTAAATATTCGAGTCTGTGTCAGGCAAAACCAGTGTTTGAAAGTATGAGCAATGTTCCACGGCTCGGGTTACTCTGACACACGCATTGTGACCACCCGATACTCTTTGGTCGTCTCTTGAGACATGGTTCGCAGTCGTGGTAACCTGGCCATGAAAAAGAACAACCTGCACTCTACTCACTTTTAGCGCACAATAAAATTATTAACTATGGCCGGTCTGTCATCTGTTGCAATCTGTTTAATCCGTGACTGGAGTTTGCAATCCCTTTGTACAGATAGATATGACGTAGTTTTCGTCGATATGTCGCCGTGAAGTCATGCATCACCTGTGAACATTTACGGTATGTATTGAGAAATTAGTTATATGTTATAATACATTCCTCTACCTACTACAAGCAAGACGCTGTATTTGTAGTGAGACGCACACCTGCATCAGTGAGGAGAGAGTCCGCGTCCCGGTCACAACACGGGATAAACTCCTTCGAAGGGAAAACATCTTTATTGAGATGGAAACGTAAGTATTTTTATTCTAGTTTGTAATCAGGTAATAGATCCATGAAACGATTCAGGGTAAATCAGAATGCAAATCAAATGTAAACTGATCTGGTTGTCTGGATAAGGTTGAAGGCGCTATACGTTTAGGCTGTGGAAATGCGGTTACACAAAATATACAGTGTCGTCACTTTACACACCGTAAATCAAAGTAGTTCAGTCTGATCCCATAGATGTTGGGATGACGAATGTGACAGTGTACTTGCCGGCAATTATCTAGCATTCTATACTAACTGCCCGTGGCAGGCAAATTGGGAAAAATCGTTATTTTGTTCCAATTTCAGATTTTTTAGAAGTTATTATTTTCCTAATTTGAGAGGTATTTTAACCTTAATTTATAACATTACATTCAATGCAATGATTTTAAATTTTAGATCCTTTCACTCTATTTTGGTCATGTAATCAGGGAAATTGAAGACACTACTACAAAGCCATAACAGCATAAATTTGGATTTCTTTCACTGACATTATGCTCCAGACTTGGGACCGAATAATCAGATCTAATTAGACCTAATTAGACCCGTGACTTGTCATTGTGTTTATGGGTGGGGGGTAACCTTGTGGTTAAAGCGTTCGCTCTTCACGCGGAGAGGTACAATGTGTGAAACCCATTTCTGGTGTCCCCCGCCGTGATATTGCTGGACTATTGCTAAATGTGGCGTAAAACAACACTCACTCACTCTGTTTGACATGTGCAGGTTCAACAACTGTCTGTGTGACATCCACTCCCCGTTCAACTACTGTAACTTCAACCTCCTTATCGTGCAGCAGAACAAGACGGTGCTGGAGACGTGTCTGGGGGAGCGGGAGTTCAACGTCCACCTGCACCACACATCCCTAGACGCAAGTGAGTGGGAAAATGGGACATCACAGAGCCTTGTTCCCAGGATCTTCACAAAAGGACATTTAATCTTTTGGAATACTGTTTTGTACCCATTATCATATGGATGATTTATCATCCGTGGCCTGGTTAATGAATTGCTCTCTTATAACTTGATTTGGTCATTGATTTCCATACAAAAAAATGTTAGTTTCTCATTAAATGGCACACAAGTCAGACAGTAATCTTTCCCTGATTCCCTTCCCGTAGACTTCACCTGTGACATGAAGAAATCCGGACGCAGAATCGCATGTAGACCGAATGACGTCCCAGTCCCACCGAGGGAGACCAGGTACTGCAGACTTCACTTTCACAACCTATCTATGTCTACTTCCCAATGCTGGCGTTCGCAATTGGCTATGCAGAGTTGCATCCCTTTACCATGCTAAGACTCGCAAGGCTTAGGTTCGAAAGCCGGATCCGCCCTAATTGTTTCTTGGCTTGTCAGCACCACACTCCGTACACCCTGCTCGTTGGTTTCAACAAAATGTTGGGCGCACGGGGGGCACGGGGGGCCCAGTCGTCTAAGGCGCCGCGATTCCCTGTGCAGAGTTGCGTCCCTTAGGCACGCCAGAAACCTATGATTGTGGGTTCAAATCCCGGTTCGCCCCGATTATGTTGGTAGGTTTGTCAGCACCATACCCGTGCTCGTGGGTTTCACCGAAGTGGTAAACGTCTGAGACATGCATCACTTCGGGCTTTCCTCACACATTAAGCTGACACGCCGTGATATAATTAGAAGACTGTTAAAAGCGGTGTTAAAGCCAACTCACTCACTCAACAAAATGTTGCATGTGCCAATAAAAATGCGTAATTTTGTTATGCCAAATATGTTTGACTAATTTGTTTTTAAATACAACTTTGTATTCGTGACTCACTTGCATATATGTCATCTTGTTCTCGTCGCTATATGGCTGGAATAATGCAGATATGACTGCAAGTGTTAACTCACTCACTCACTCAATCAATCAATCAATCAATAAACATGAAGATTAACTGTTAAATGAAACAAGCCAAGGTGACCTGTAGTTTTTATGAGTAGAAACTAGTGATGTGCACGAAATTTAAGCCGTACATACGATGCACGTATGTTGTAATATAGTACTGGTTATACAAAAAACAATTTAACGTATAATATTGGTCCAATCTAAACGATCAGTATCAATTTGATGAGCACGTTCTCTACATAGAAGACTATAAAAACGTTCGCTCGTCACGCGGAAGACCTGGGTTCGATTCCCCACATAGGTACAATGTGTGAAGCCCATTTCTGGTTTCCCCATCTGGTATTGCTGGAATATTGCTAAAATCGGCGTAAAACCTCATACTCATTCACTCACTCTGCAAATACGTTGTAGATATGTAATGAGTTTGACTTTCTATTCAGATTTCAGTATGTGTTAGACTGCTTGGGAGAAAGCCTGCCCGACTTCAGCTGTAAGTAATAGAGATGGTGATGGAATCTGGTAAATGTAAGGGGGGTGATTGTGACATCTGTCTGTCTGTCTGTCTGTCTGTCTGTCTGTCTGTCTGTCTGTCTGTCTGTCTATCTATCTATTTGGCATGTGCTACCAGTAAAGATGCTCTGTGTGTACAATACGTGCTTCTGAAGGCGATCTTCTGAAATATCAAGTTGATGTTCTGAAATATCAAGTTGATCTTCTGAAATATCAAGTTGATTTTGTTGCACATCGCATCCTTTCTTCTCCATGTCAGGCCCCATCACAACGGCGGCCCCTCCTGGCGTGACGACGGCGGCCCCGCCAGAGTCGCGGATCGCCTTGCTGGTGATGGCCCTCCTCATCAGCCTCCTGCTGGGCGTGTTGGGCACGTGGCTCGGCATCTTCTGCTGGAGGAAGAGGAGCAAGAGGAGACGCATCAACAGGTGAGGAAGATATGTTGAACAATCACAAACACCGCATCCCAGGATGAGGCGAAAGGTTTGTAAAGATTAGAGACTGCCACAACTACTACTGGGCTGTGCAACACAAAGCGACCTCAGCAGATAAATCATAGGTTACGGTTCTTACGACTTGCAGCCTTGTGAATATAAATGTATTATCTTGACCCAGTCTTACCATGCCAGGTGAAGTATAATTATTGTACGATGATACTTAGCTTGACCCATTCTTACATTATGTGGGACTCTAATACTTAGTTTTTCTAGAACTCCACGTTTTGGCCAGACCAAAATCTCGGGATTATGACTGTAACGTCACACGATGCAAGTCACGTATTCACCCATTCCTGTTTGGAGTTAAACACAGCAGCCGCCACAGTGGGAGTTCACTGTGTACACTATGTATGTGTATATTGCAGACCGCTGCCGCCTCTGATGCCCCGCCCTGAACACTCCAGCCTGCCCAACCTGTACGACGAGGACTACACTGAGGAAAACATATACGATGTCGTCAAAGCTGTGGTGAGACACGACGTGGCCAAGGTCACCACCAAACGATCATATTGACATGAATTATTCAGATCTGAATGTTATTACGTTCGGAAAGTTATGATCCACAGTGCACATGACGCTCAGTAGGCTAAAGGGAAGCAACTCTTGGACCTTCCACAGGCTCAGAGTGTCCACATCGCCCCTTGCTACGACTACTGATACTAAAGCTGCAGTATACTAAAACTTTTTAGACTGTTTAGGGCAGGGATTTTATCGAAAAAAATTACCCCCGAAAATTCTTGAAAAAAACCGCATTATGCTTCATATTGTCGGGAAAAAACTTGTCAGCGACGAACATTACATTTTTGCAATGTATCTTGTTGTAGTTTTAATTTAAAAAATATCAGGTTTGCATCTGTAGCTGCAAAACATATTTGGTCTCAATACAAAATCCGAGCTTACGCCCGGTTAATATCAAATGGTCGTTCCTTATGTATTTGATATATGTATAAGATGTAAGGTGCTTGTGGGTAGATATCATATTCTGTATAACTGGCAAAAGGGACCAATTGCCTACACGAAACAGTGACAAGTAGTACAGCAGTGCTTCTCTATGCTTTATCTCAACCAGAAAAAGTGTCAAATTTGCTAAATTATTAATTAATGTATTCAAACTGCGTGAGGAATTTAAATTAGTATACATCTCAACAATAGCCTATTGAAGATTTTATGTACAATTGGTCTTAGGTCTTTACTACAGTAAAATCTGACTGACTGACAGTTTGTCTTGCAAAATATAAACTACTCCACGAAGGCGGAGGCGCTCTATGGTGCGGACTCGTGAAGATCCAGGTAGAGAATAGGTCTTCACCAACCCATGCTTGCCGTAAAAGGTGGCTATGCTCGTTGTAAGAGGCGACTAACGGGATCGGGTGGTCAGGCTCGGTGATTTTGTTGATGCGTGTCATTGTATCCAAATTACGTAGATGCTGATGACGTTAATCACTGGATCGTCTGTTACAGACTGACGTCATATAGCTGGAATATTACTGAGTGCGTCAATAAACAACAAACAAACAAAACACTAGGTTAATTATTTTTTTTGTGCAGGATGAGTCGCCCACCACCCACCCGGTACCTGACCTGCTGAGTCGAGTTCCATCTCTCCCGCCCATCACACCTAGACCACCACTGGGCCCTCAAGTTGAGGTCGACAAAGACAAGGCTGCTTACAACAGGAATTCCAGCCATAGTGAATTCTACGAACCTTTGTTAAGAGGTCACAGCACATCGCAAAATAGTGACCACACGTCACCTAAAACCACCCTCCAAACTGAGGACAGTTACGGTGGTGATTATCTGCCCTTGTTACCAGACAGAGACAGTCGAGAAATACCTGAAACGGAGCCAGTCAAACGATTTCATCCCTACGACACACCGGATGAGTCATTCATGGGAACTGAAGCAGGGGATGCATCTATTACAACGCCTAAGATCGTAGAAGGCCAAGATGATAAACCCTCGGAAGCAAAACCAGAGTACCATATCCTGGAGCCTCCCGGCGGACATACTCGCGGCGCCAGTAAGAATCAGGAGCACACAACTCTCGACATCAAGGAGGGGGTAACTCCTGATACACATGAGGAAACATCCCCACAAACGATCGAGGAGAAAGGACGTGTTGAGACCAGTCCAAATGACAGTGGTTACGTGAAAGAACGGTCAAATTTGATAGAGGAACCAACTCATTCGTCAAAATCACCTGAAAGTGAAACTGATTCAGACGGATATGAAATACCGGTGTCTGAGGAGGCACCAGCTTTTGACATTGCCTCTTCCTTTATTAGGAAGGGGCCAAAAAGTGAAGGTGTGCACGATAAGAACAAGGACGATGTTGTTGATGTCTGATACACTGATGCCTCGCATCAATTGGGCGTCAAGGTGGCCTCGTGATTACTCTTCGTTCATTACATCAAAGCCATAAGCCTATTTCTGGTGTTGCCTGACGCGATAATACTGGCTTCACACCAACTTCAAGATATATGTTTGATCCAGGCATTCTTGACAGTTACTTGTGTGTGTGTATTTTGTGGACGATGGATGTGTGCGATGAGTACCAAATTGTGATGTGTATAGAATTGTACAGAATCATTGTATTTTCGTGTGTAAATATAAAACAGTCGTTCAGCAGTGGATGCTATAACAAATACATGAGATCAGGGATGTGCAGGAAATCAAAATGTTTTTGATACCTGTGTGCTATTTTTATGCTATCATGTTTTTGGTCTCGGAAAGAATGCTTTCCCACTACACCTGTTCAGTTTATTTGATTATTTATGTTTAATTGCGTTTTGTATTTCACCAAAGCTCATGTCTGCAATCAAGCATGATCTGCTTTTATGGATTCATGAATAAAGTCTGTTTTTTATATACATTTTTGTCCTGATGTTGACTATCTGGCAAATGGCAAAACGGGGCACGGGTGGCTCTGTTATGTGTCCTTAAGACCGGGGTAAGAAGATGCCCTAGAACCTATTTGAAACTATAACGCCGTTAGAATACTTCTCGTCAGCAAATGCCCTACCTCATGTGGGTATGTGACACAGAGAAATAATAAACTGTCTGTAGTTTTGGTGCATGAAATATGAACTTTTGCCCGAGAAGAAGTGTGTCAGGTGTTGGCAGTGTAGAGAAACAACGACTGTGCAGGCACGAGGTGAGACGGTTGCCCTAGTGCAGCAAGCCAACTTCATAATAAACACATGTATACACTGGACATACTTTGATCAGTATGACAAACAACAGACCAGTTACTGTTAGAGAAAGAAATGTTCTGTGGATGTGATCATTCTTTTTGGATTTAGCAGTTTTGTTAGGATACAGACCAGATTAAGAAATGTATGACTCTTTTCCGGGAAATTTATATTTTCATATGCCGATGGTTACAATATCGGATTACCTACTACGTATGTTCTGTACTATGTTCCTCATTCAGTCTTGCTTGACTTATAAGGATCTATACCGAAACGTCGCCTTTACAGTATTAAAGAAGTTGTTATCCATAAATTGTGTCTACTTTGTCCAGAAATGTATTTAATCTATTGTGTATGTAGGTGAACATTTACCGAAGCAGCTCAGTAATGTAATTGGTCGCTAAGCGTCTGGATCTAATTTGTTACCTTTATCGTGTCAATGTGTGAACGGCCAGATAGCCATGTGTCAGGGTAGACAATATCCCACTACAGCAATGAACATGCAACTAAATTAATCAATGTTAGTCATTTTCCATTTTGTCAGGCTCCGATGACTTGCTACGGTTTGGGGTCTTGATAGATTCATTTATTTCTTCTAACATTATTTAAACCCACCTCCTCACATTCTGGAAATTCATATATTTTCATTTTCCGCATCTAGAATCTCAAGAAACTGTTCACAATTAATATTCTGAAATGGGTCGTACATTTCACTTTCATCAGGTATATGAGACTTTAGGCTTTTGTTACTATTCATTCTTTCTTCTACTTTATTTTCAATATTTCACAAGGCACATTGCTTAGCAGTTCTTGTATTCTTGTGATGTCTGTCTGTAGTTAAGCCCGTCACGATATGGCTGAAATATTGCCGATGTGACGTAAAGCATTAACTCACTCACTCACTGTAGTTAAGCATATTTCGTGTTGATTTACGTTTAGCTTTGCAGAAACGTCTACCACAAACTACATTGACATTTGATGTTGGAATACTGACTCGTGTCATACAGCTGTCAGTGTTGGAGTATTCCAATACCAAGTCATAGATGAGAGATCTGTGCCGTTACAAGCTGCTCGCAGGCCTGACGCTCACAATACTAATGTGTCCATCTGGGGCGTGTCATCGGACTCAGACAGTTAACACACAGCGAATTCCGATACCACAAACATTGTCGAACTATCAACCCCTGTTGTACTCTGGCACTATCGAACTATCAACACATGTTTTACACCGGTACTGTCGAACTATCAACCCCGTGTTTTACTCTGGCACTATCGAACTATCAACACATGTTTTACACCGGTACTGTCGAACTATCAACCCCTGTTGTACTCTGGCACTATCGAACTATCAACACATGTTTTACACCGGTACTGTCGAACTATCAACCCCTGTTGTACTATGGCACTGTCGAACTATCAACACATGTTTTACACCGGTACTGTCGAACTATCAACCCCTGTTGTACTTGGCACTGTCGAACTATCAACACATGTTTTACACCGGTACTGTCGAACTATCAACCCCTGTTGTACTCTGGCACTATCGAACTATCAACACATGTTTTACACCGGTACTGTCGAACTATCAACCCCTGTTGTACTCTGGCACTATCGAACTATCAACACATGTTTTACACCGGTACTGTCGAACTATCAACCCCTGTTGTACTCTGGCACTATCGAACTATCAACACATGTTTTACACCGGTACTGTCGAACTATCAACCCCTGTTGTACTATGGCACTGTCGAACTATCAACACATGTTTTACACCGGTACTGTCGAACTATCAACCCCTGTTGTACTTGGCACTGTCGAACTATCAACACATGTTTTACACCGGTACTGTCGAACTATCAACCCCTGTTGTACTCTGGCACTATCGAACTATCAACACATGTTTTACACCGGTACTGTCGAACTATCAACCCCTGTTGTACTCTGGCACTATCGAACTATCAACACATGTTTTACACCGGTACTGTCGAACTATCAACCCCTGTTGTACTCTGGCACTATCGAACTATCAACACATGTTTTACCCAGGCATTGTCGAACTATCAACCCCTGTTGTACCCAGGCATTGTCGAACTATCAAACCCTGTTTTACCCCGGGACTGTCGAACTATCAATGCATGTTGTCCCCGGGCACTGTGGAACTACCAACCCCTGATTTATCCAGGCATCATATCGATGTGGCAACCCTTGTTTTATCTGGCGAGGAATTAGATACCTTCTGCTGACTTCGGCGTCACACAACATTCACTCACTCGCCCATTCACTATTCAGTATTGACCCTACACTAATCTACAGAAGTAAAACATGTTGAACGTGGAAGAACCACGGAATCGATAAGTGGCAAGGGAATGTATTTATGAGTGTAACTGTAAGATATCGCACCAAACCACGAATAGATGTGATGTTTTACAAAAGAAAACGAAATTGAAAATATTTGCAATGTTTATTGACTGCTAGCTTTCGATTACGAGGCCTACTGGCAGACCTTGGTTTCCTCATTGAAGAAGCTGCCGGGTGCACAGACCAAGTCGATGACCCTTGCACCTGACAGACACAACAGGTACTTCCTGCTGTCGCTGGGGTGACGGCGGAGAAGGCCCTCATTCGCGCATGGGTTGGGGACACATGCCTCGCCGGAAGAGGAGAAGGTGGAATGGTCTGGACATTCCTTGAGGTAGGCTACACTGTCAGTGCACTCGTAGTACTTGAGGGGGTCACTGTGGGCGATAGACGTTGGGCTATCCTCACGACACCTGTCTGTATGACACATACATTGAAATAGTTTAAACATTGATCAGATATATTACTCATCCATGGGAACTGGCAATTAAATAGGTGAGGTGAAATTGGGTTTAACGTCGCGTCCAAGATAATTGCACTTATGTAGCGACGTGCATGCACGTGTGTGTGTGTGTATGCTTTAACTAGTACGGACAGATGCCAATTTTATAGTGCTAGTCCACTGAGATACCATGCCGCGGTTTAACATGAACAGCCCACTCAGACACAGTATACAGAGCCCATCAGTCCATGTTTTAGCCCCTCAACGCCGAGCGCCAGGTAGGGTAACAAGAATTACCGTCTTTTAACGTCTTTTGGTATGACGCGGCTTGGGATCGAATCCCGGACCTTCCGCTCTCCGGGCGAACTTTCTACCACTAGACCATGGAGGCGGTGGCAATTTAATAGTATTACAGTGATAGATATGCTATTTACAATTTCAACCTGCAATCTCAGCAATAGATTCCCAAGTATATGAAGGCATATAACGACCTTCAATTTGATAAATATCCATGACAATATTTCCATAGGGCACGTGTAGACTGCATGGGCAGGGCACCGTTCCACAAAGCGATCTTGGCGCTACGATGATCGTAAGCCGTTATTAAAGTTTGGTCTTTACGACCACCTTAGTGCTAAGAACGCTTTGTGCAACGGATCCTAGGTACCCAGAATGTTGCAAGAGGCTGGTGGTGAGGATTGAGTGGTCAGGCTCAGTGACAGCAGGCCCTGTCAGCGTACAGACTGTTGCGTTTAACGTCATACACTGTCAATATTTCCAGTTCGCCCTAATCATGTGTCTAGGTTTGTCTGAGAACCTGCATCACTTCGGAATTCCCTCCTATATCAAGCTGACATTGAAACACAGTTCAAAGCAGCACCAAAGCCAACTCACTCACTCCATTGTGCTATGTGGTACTCCTACATGTAATGAATGTGTCCAGATTACACTAGGAGATTTCTGCCTTACCCCCGCAGGGTTCCGTGTTGCATTCGTGCATCTCCCTGTTCTGTGTGGCCTCGCCCTCACAGTCCCTGCCCCCGTGCATGGGGTTGGAGCAGGAGCGAGAGCGGGTGAAGTCGGTCTGGCCTCCACCGCACAGGACGGGGCACTCGGTCACTGGTGTCCAGTCCTCCCAGCCAGACCACTGACCGTCGACTAAAATATCGTCATAAAAAAACTTTCACTGACAGTAGCATGTATTTACATCAACGTTTCCTCTGTTGGTTAATCAAACCAAATATCCCAAGTCTAACGAGTCACTAAATAATCACAAAATCTGAGATTGAAATAATCTACACATTTGGATCAACATATACTCAACATCAAAAGTTCCTGTGACACCAATATTTAAGTGTATTTTTCAAACAAGTAAAGTTTGGTTTTCAATATTGTAGTACATGTATGGAATCAAGTCACAAAAAAGCATATGCTACAGAAAAGCATGCATTACATGCAAAAGTTGAGCCACATGCATTTCACTACCCAAGAATGGGTATAAAAACATGTGAGTTAACGGGATTCCATATGCATTGTTTAGCATCGTGCTGACAACAACCACTCAGAAAAACAACAAAATTACGCAATTATTCAACTTTACGAAATGCCATGCCTGTCCGAAAATGAGCGTCTGCGATCCATGGGTATGCTTGAAGCAGGATCGAGTCAACGTGATGTTGCAAGACAATTTAACGTCCACAGAAACACCATTTGGTGATATCCCACAGGACTTTGTGCGACGCCTGGTCCATTCCGTGAGACACACACGCTATAGATTTGTAAATTGACATTTTGGCATGTTCATGATTTTTTTATGAAATGAAGCATTTTCTGAAGTCAGTATGGCAAATTTAACCATTTGAACACTTACAGGAATCATTTATCTTTTGCAAACCGAAATTGTTTCAGATTTGGTAAAAAAACATAACTTTGCATTAAACCTTATTCAATGTCACAGGAACCTTTGTTGTTCAGTATATTTTACGATTGATAAATATTGTATTAATGGCTACATGTCTTGTCCGAGTCTTGTATATGTAGATCAATCTAATTCAAATTTAATATTCGTGAAAATCAAGCTGAACCATCTCTACATATAGAAAACCATCTCTCTCTCTCTCTATTTGAGTGAGTATGGTTTTACGCCGCTTTTAGCAATATTCCAGCAATATCACGGCGGGGGACACCAGAAATGGGCTTCACACATTGTACCCATGTCGGGAATCGAACCCGGGTCTTCGACGTGACGAGCGAACGCTGTAACCACTAGGCTACTCGACCGCCCCCTCTCTATGCATTTACTGACGGTGAATTTGTTTCATATTTATAAATACTGTTTCAAAAAGAGCCTATTACTTTAAGCCACTTTAATTTCTAAAGGAATTTAAACATTATGTTTCAATCACTCGGAACAGGTAAGTGCCGAAAGGTTAGCGGTATGGTGTATTTTGTTTATACTTATTTCTAATGGCAATTACGATAATGTATTTTAATTCATCATATAAACTGCGCCTACTGAGAATTATGTGCTGAGAGGCCTACATTCTGAATAAAAATGATATTGAATTATAATGATTATTGATTGAGATCAAACTAATGTATTATAGTTTTAAAACTAACATATGGAATATATTGACCACGAATAATGTGTCGCCCGCTCACTCAAGGACAGAACACCCAAACACGACCCAAATTAGCGTCATCACAACTGTGTGTGAGTTTTACCTGGGCATGGATTGCTGTTGCAGTTGGAGGAATATGTGTACTCCCCTGTGCCCCAGCAGCGAGCTCCACCATTAGCTGGTGCTGGGTTGGTGCAGGATCTGGTCCTCTTGTAGTGCTGGCGCCCAGTGCCGCACGTGGCCGAGCAGGGGCCCATCATCTGGGAGTTGGACCACGAGGACCAGCCGCCATTCACTGCAGTGTGTAATGGAGTCACAGTCAACTGTAGTTATAGCGCATCAACTGACGGACTGACATAGAAATTTAAAGATCGTACAACCATGATATCTAACAATCAAAGGTAAATTGCTAGGTAGCACAGCTCACCTTTGGGACACGGTCCGAAGCATGTGTAGGAAGAGGTCCTGGATAACACAACGAAAAAACGAATTAAACCATGACGAATGCAGTGTCGTCCTGTTTCGTCATGTGAGCTCTGACATACAGATGGCTTGACACAGATTTCAATATATAACAGTTTATCTTACATACCCATTCATAGGGTAGAGTGATAACCCACCTGTATATCCGCACACCCACCTGTACACACCTGTACCTGTGCACCTGCACCTGTACACACCTGTTTCTGTGCACCTGCACCTGTACACACCTGTATCTGGGCACCTGCACCTGTACACACCTGTATCTGGGCACCTGTATCTGGTGCACCTGTATCTGTGCACATGCACCTGACTTCTCTGTAACTGGGTACCTGTTTCTGTACCAACCTGTACCTGTGTACCTGTTTCTGTACCACCTGCACCTGTACAGATCTGTACCTGTACACACCTGTACCTGTGTACCTGCTTCTGTACCCACCTGCACCTGTACAGATCTGTACCTGTACACGCCTTGTCCTGTGCACCTTCTTCTGTACCCACCTGTATCTGGTGCACCTGCTCCTGCTCCAGCTCCACCTGCTGCTGCAGTTGGTTGTGTACCTCGTCCTGCTGTAACAGGTCTTGCGGCATCTGAAGCACACACAACACATATGAAATAGTTGGCCACATGCAGACAACATATACATCGACATACAAGCAGATGTTACACAACATACGTTGTCCCGAGACAGGGGTGTATTATTTGCCTATGTGGATCATCCCGTTAGTAGTCGGCATGTATAAGACAGCTACCAAAATAAGGAGATCAGTGAGTTAACGTATTCTTCCTTCTCATTAACATTTGATCATCTGCGTGATGATCTGACAAGACGTGGCCGCCTCCGTGGTCTAGTGGATAGAGCGTCTGCCCGGAGAGCGGAGGGTCGTGGGTTCGATCCCCGGCCGCGAAATACCAGAGATATTAAAAGATGGTGCTTATTGTTACCCTGCCTGGCGCTCGGCATTAAGGGGGAAAAACAATGATTGGTCGGTTCGGAGTCAGTATACTGTGTCTGAGTGGGGTATTCATGTTAAACTGCGGCATGGTGACTCAGTGGGCTAGCACTATAAAATAGGCATTAGTCTGGACTAGTACAAGCAGCCACACACACACACACACACACACACACACACACACACACACACATGTGCATGTACGTCGCTATATAATTGCAATAATCTTGAACGGGTCTTTAGTCCATTTCACCTTCACAGGACGTCGCTTAAGATGAACCCTTTGATCGCCCAAATTAAATGACAGATGCGTGGGTTCTTGAGCCAATCAGATGTCAACTTTATAAAAAGCTTCGAATTCATTTCTCTACCAACTCGACTTAGATATTTACAGATATAACAGAATAGAAGTTTTCACTTGAGAGTAGATGTCTCGAAGTAGATGACATGACGCTCATAAACGTCAGGGTGTATCAAATGTTCACAAATTATACCACGCGGCATTTGATATTTTACATTCGGAACTGCTCGTTTATGTTTGTTTTCGATGAGTTTATCAGTAACCTAGCTATATTCAGTAAAGGACTACACTTACCTCTTAGTGTATGCGGCCACACAGGCCACCATCAACAGGAAAACCAGGAACGCTTTCAAGTCCATGTCGACTGTAAAGATTGAGACGTCGGCTGCGTCTGCAGGGTTCGTACAAGGCTGCCATAATATATAGCAGCACCGTAAATTTATTCTAATTGATAAACTGTGTAATTCCTGTACCGCCTTGATCCTATTAGGTCTTATCGACAGACTTCATTTTCCTACTTCGTATAGAGATTAAGTTAAATACAGCCATGCAAATATGAAAGCCTGTGGCCTCATAAGGGAACAAGCATTTAATAATCATGGGGTGGGGTGGGGTTTTTCGGGGTGAATAGTTCAATAGGTAAAATATGTTTCTTTTCTGCCACCGTTTAAAATAATGTATTGGATTTACAGCACAGTTTATTTAGGACATTAAGTGAGTAATTATCCTACCTATTTTTTTTAAACCATTTCAATTTTCCCAGACCACGCCCTCCACCCATACCCTGACCCCATACTCTCTCTCTCTAACACACACACACACTCACACACCACTCTCACACACACACCACACACACTCACACACACACCACACACACACACACACACACACACACACACACACACCACACACACACACACACACACACACACACACACACACACACACACACACACACACACGCACACACACACACACACGCACACACACACACACACACACACAAACAAACAAACACAGTCCCTGTCTCTTTATCCGAGTTTGTGGCACAATTAGTAAATGTATTAATCAGAATTGAAATATTGGTCGCAAAATATTGTAAACATTTATATTTGAATGTGTGAAGGATAGCACAGGTGCACGGTCTTTGTTTGAGATACGCCTTTATCCTCTTGACGCACACGGAGCGTAATATCTACTTTAATAAATAGGTTTACATCCTAATGTATTTTTGGTGTTTTCAGGACTTTGACTTATTGAAACCCAATTGAACTCTTGTTTCACGCAAGTGTGCTGATATCAGCGGAATGTGTTTAACAGATAAGACAAAAATGCCGACCTGCGTTGTTTGAAACGACTCAATCGCCTACATGCAAATGAAAACTCACCACTTTATGGCTTTTGTTTGTTTGTTGTTCAACGCCGCACTCAGAAATATTCCAGCTGTACGACGGCGGTCTGTAAATAATCGAGTCTAGACCAGACAATCCAGTTATTGACATCATGTGCATCGATCTACGCAATTTGGATACGATAACATGCATCAACCAGGTCAACGAGCCTTGTTACAACCCTTAATGTAAAAATTACTCCTTAATGTAAAAAAAATTACATTAAGGTTTGCGGGTTAACTCTTGTTACAACCCTTAATGTAAAAAAATACTCTTAATGTAAAAATATTTTATATTAAGAGTTGCGGGTTCACCCTTGTTACAACTCTTAATGTAAAAAATACTCTTAATGTAAAAAAATTTACATTAAGGGTTGAAGTGATAGATAATATTGTTTTTACATTAAGGGTTATCACTATGAAATAATACTTATCGAACTTTCATGAAACTTCGCAGATTTAATTTATCGTTACTTTGTCTAGATGTGCAAATGACTGATCATTTATAGATCCCCTCTCCACAACGACCACCTGGTTGTTATATTCAGGCTCCATAAAAGGGTTAATGACCCCTAACCCCTTTAACCGATTTTTATCAAACTTGCTGTTTTACAAAGGTTATTTTTCGATGCTCTGCAAGGCAAGGTTGCTATCTTAATACCGTAACGAAAGAAAGGAGGACTCAGCCCAAGCAGATCAGACCAAGTTGTAGATGATGTTGGGTTGTAAGAATGGTCCATAAACAGAGTTTTAGGCATAAAATAAAGGACATTTTGTCAGTTATGACATACGGCAGTTTAGCATACACCAGAATCATATGCCATTACTAACGAAAGGAATTCTAATGCAATGATGTTTAGTTAGAAAAAACAACAACCGTAGATTTCCCAAGTACCGTGCCGAGTCAAATATAGCCACTTAAAGTTTACATTTTTCGAATATGAATTCTATACCTTTTCTTAAGCAGTTTAGCATATCCTGAAGTACGAGTAGAGTAGAGTATTTCATATCAGTTCATATAGGAACCGACCATTCGATCTTCGGGGTGGGTGGGTGGGGGTGGGTGGGGTTGGGGGGTGGGGCTCAATTTCGACCAATCAGATGCCTCGTAAATAACGTAAATAACGTAAATAACGTCATATTGTATAGTGTCCCTAGATACACCTTTGTAACAAGATTTACAAAATCGTCAGTTATGACCCATAAAGAAAACCTGTTAATAACGACCAGGTTGTCCTTGTTGAGAGATTGTTGGAATATGTAAGGTGTACTGCACTTACACAAGTTCAATGGCTCTACTTTCTGTTGTTCCTGAATAAACGCGCACAGTTGAAGGAAGCTATTACGAATAATTAGTCTTCACTTTATTCAGTACTTGTAGGCCATGGCACTTTATGTACAAACGAAATACAATTTAAGTGCAAACAGTATAAAATACAATGCATTCCTTTGCATTTTAATTTTGAAAAAGCAGTTTTAACATAATTGCATATTATCAAAGTTTATTTGTGTATTTGCGTTCTTACAGCATTGCCGTAAAAACAAGTACTTTTCTGTATTCATATTGATAATAGGGTCTTGCGATGACAGTAGTGTATTAAACTTCAGAATATTTGGAAAGATGTAAAAACTTTGCTTCAGATGGCTATAACATAGAAAAAAAATTAAAAAGTGATATTCATTTTCGATATGGTTTAGGTTACAAACTTTACATTTTCTAAATTCACGAGGAATATTGAACTGAACCCCAAACGAGTCCTGATTTTATTTACAGTTATACTACTCAAATAGTTCTCACATGAAATGGATGTTTAAAACTGTGCATAATAAGCCATTTGGGGTTTTTCGCATAAATTACCATGCCAAACCTGAAAAAAAGGGTTTTAACCGCTGACGTAACATATTTAATTATTTATTACCACATGTTTGAAAGTACCAGACATCACCAAAACCTAATCTGAAAGTAACAGATTTAAGTTTCGTTACCCAATTTACGTGGCCTTGTTCATCGTACAACAGCAGCATATTGTAAGATTTTGGGGGTATACGAGATTCCTGCATATTATAAAGAGACAGCCAATATTTGACACATTTCAAAACAGCGAGCGACTGAATAGAACATCTGCCAGACTCGGTTCTATGACACTGAACCCCCAAATTCCAGCCCCGTATAAAAGTATTGGTGTTATCTCTGATCAAAACATTTGAAGTAAAAGTGAGGCGAGTGTGGTTTCAAGGAATGTATACTAATTAACAGGACCATGAACACCTTTCTTGCCTCAATTGGAATATTATTTAAGCATTCGACCTCAGTAATCTATTGCTAAAATACAAGCCAAGATAACTGTATCCAGTAACTACTTTATACGCATTTCCATCATAATACCATTTTTTCATAACGTGATAAACCTCGCCTATTTTTGAAAAACAACTATTTTTGTTTCCATTTTGTAACCAATTCGTTTATGAAAAAAACTGAAACAAAAAGGGACAAAGCATACACCCTTGACCCACACCCATGAAGCAACACCTATACCAGATACTCTGTTGTTTGAACGAACACAGGCCTTGACATTACTGTACAAGGATTGTAACATTTTACCCATTTTAGCACTCAAACCATGTTTGTACAATGGCTTCCATAGATGTCGTCAAGCCAGCTGATTTATTATGTTTCCAGGCACTGTTGCTTTCAAAAAGTTCGGATCTGGTGATTGTGGATTCTAATATGTCAATTGTCAGTACTTGCACATAACCATGACCTGTCACTATGTCCTCCACCTCACCAAGATTATTCTGAATACCCATTGGTTCAGAATTCTGCGACGAGAAATAGTTCCCCAGTCTTGTATATCAATAGGGTTGGGTCGTTGCGGTCGTCCAGACATACGTTTTATGATGTCCCAGAAACGTTTAGAGTCTACCGCTGCTGCATTTTCTAGGTCACTCTTTTTACATTGTGCAAACTGGTCCTTCCTGATTCCACACAGTTATCTGTATTCATTGCAAACTTTGTTTTACTTAATAAGGTATGAGTTATCTTTAGTTATTTCTGAACGCATTTACATAATGGCACCGTTCATGTTTTTTTACAGAGACATTCATCATCATCGGGGAACATGTCACTCGATGCCAAACCATAATCTATCACACTACACCCTAAATGCCCAATAGGAGGCACGGGTGGCCAAGTCGTCTAAGGCGCCGCAATTCGCTGTACAGAGTTGCGTCCCTTGGGTACGCCAGAAACCTATGATTGTAGGTTCGAATCCCGGTTCGCCCCGATTATGTTGTTAGGTTTGTCAGCACCATACCCGTGCACGTGCTTGTGGGTTTCACCGAAGTGATAAACGTCTGAGGCCTGCATCACTTCGGGCTTTCCTCCAACATTAAACTGGCCTCAAGCCGTGATATGAATGGAATACTGTTAAAAATGGCGTTAAATCCAACTCACTCGCTCACTTAATGCCCAATAAATGTTCAGTCACCGATTTGATAGTCAGTTCCAAATCTTCCATTCACAATATGTTTGTTCAGAATTAAACACATTTCCAAAAGAATTTTTCCAAAGTAAATTATCACATGAATATCCCTCCATTTCAAATTGTGTAAAAACATCTATTAAGTAATTATTACTTTTAACATGGTGTATAACATCGTTCTCCACATAGTTCCGCGTCACACCGGTTCTACTGTTCATGTACAATGGACCTGTGAAGATCTGGGCAGAATAGGTCTTCAGCAACCCATTCTTGCCATAAAAGGCGACTATGCTTGTCGTAAGAGGCGACTAAAGGGATCGGGTGGTCAGACTCGCCGACTTGGTTGATGCATGTCCTCAAATCCCAAATGCGTGGATCGATGCTCATGATGTCGACCACTGGATTGTCTGGTCAAGACTCGATTATTTACAGACCATCGTCATGTAGCTGGAATATGGCTGAGTGCGGCGTTAAACAACAGGCAAACAAACAAACAAACAAACCCAAGTACAATGATAGAAACAGCTGTGTATTCTTCCAGTGTACTCAATAAAAAAATACAACAAAATCTCTACCCCATTTTGTCTATCTTTGTTATTATTACCAGGTCGATCTCTCCGGCTGGATATATGTAAACACACATAATGTAGCGCTACTGAAACCAAACATACTTTTATCCAACTGAATAGTAATAGCATGTTATCTGTAGCGAAATTTTGTGAATAGTGAATATTTTATCAAAGGTATTCCTCCCGAATACCTCCCGAATACCTCCCGAATACCTCCCGAACTTGGACCTTTTACGAATTACGCGTATTACTAATAATTGCAAGAAACCGAGCAAAAACAATAAAAAACGTGAACATAGCAAAACGTATCCTATATTTCAAATCAAACTTTGTTTATAAGAATATTTTACATTAAGGGGCGATATGTACGATATCAACCCTTAATGTAAAAAAATATGTTTTACATTAAGGGTTGCGGGTTGTTACTCTTAATGTAAAAACGTAACCCTTAATGTAAAAAGTTTTACATTAAGAGTAATTTTTACATTAAGGGTTGTAACAGAGCCTGACCACCCGATCCCGTAAGTCGCTTCTTACGACAAACATAGTCGCCTTTTACGGCAAGCATGGGTTCATTTATTTCAAGTACTCTGCATCATCAAGTCATTTCTCGAGCGGTATATTTTAAGGTGACGTCTAAATTAATACGGAATATAATTATGAGTGACTACCTGATGAATCAAAACATCCGTAATAGCCCATTACCTGGGGCTATAGCGAGACTGACACCAAACAGGAGTAGCATGTTTTGAGAAATAGTTTTACATTCACACCGACAATGGTTATCTCCCTTTAACTAATGGTTGGTTTTACAAATGGTCAATTTTACATTGCATTATTTAAGCTGAATAAGTATGCGTTAAATTAACGTGACGTCATGAGTAGTCACCCGAGCGTGTCCGACATAGACAAATAGTCATTGATGAACGTGTTGATTAAGGAAATGTGCATCAGAAAATTCAACAGTGGACATCAGTCATATGTGACCACGGCCGTCCCCAGTCGTATCCTTGAGGAATGGTATACTTGACCGTGGGTCAAGATGAAGTACTGGACACAACTTCTTTGTAAGTAGAAAATTATTATTGCATGGTGATACTTGTTTATATTTATATTTATATGAAAGAATTGTTTTTTATTTCTTAAAAAATTAATCTGCTCATTTTGAAGTACAAGTAAATCAATTCAGCATTCATGTTATATACTTTCACTCTAGTACCTTGTGTTGTAATATCAACTACTAATCAGTTTACACACAAAGTTGGCTGGTCATCTATAGAAAAGCAAAACTGTTCGTTAAAAGTCTGACAAGACCAACAATGAACATATTATGACGCCTAACCACGTTTGATAATTGAGCCGATTATCTATAAGATCAGAGGTTTCAATGTGTAACCGGATTTGCGTGGATTGTTGCTCTGTTATCAATCACTGGCTTGTCTGAACCAAACTATTTACAGGCCACTAGTTACAATTTTGCTGACTACAACATCAAACATTATAAAAATTCAAAACCAGTAATACACTAGTATCATACATCTTATAGTATATATGAATCTTATAATATATACATTTCAAACATTAAAATGTACCTAATGCGTTCTAAGAAGTACATGCATCAAAACTTGGGAAACTGTTGCCATGCGTCTATCTGGTTGTGATTTATTACGTAATTTATTTCATCACAGTCCTGTCAGTCGTCGTGACCACCTACAGCGACATCTCCGCACAAAATGTCACCACAGAGGGGACAGAGACGGTGTCAACTGTTTCGATACATAGAGAAGTTCGCCCAGTGTCGTAAGTAATTTATCATTTTATTTTGGGTTATAAATAACATTAAATCCACCCAAGCTTCTCGTCATGTTGTAATACACAGTAACCCCATGAGCGGTCGTATAACCACAGTAGTGACATATGATACCCCCTTTTTAACAGCTGGCGTGATTAAAAAAACTGCAAAATCATTCGGTACTATCTTGATAAATTCTTATGCAAATATCTTTACTTTGTACCTCTGGTGCATTATGACAATGCCTATATTTACCTGAGGAAATATATTTGTATATTTCTCGAAACTATACGAGTACGATACATAATATAGAAAATACTACATCACTGCATCGAATCTGAGCATAATCTTTGACGTATTCGTTTATTGTAAGTTACCAAGTATAGACAATCACTGATGTAACGAAAAGAGTAAAAGAGCAACGGAAATATGAAAGTGAAAACATGTCTGTACATAATACATTAGCTTGAACAGTTTTCTTACACAACGTCGTGTCGAGATACTGTTGTGCAATATAGTTCATTAACATAAGAAGTATTACTAATACTCAATCAATTCAATCAACCATGAATAAAATCCACGTCTACGTCATGACCGATGATAGGAATGCGGATGTGTTGGTGTCAGAGGAAAATATAAGATAGCTACAAAGACTTTTGATAGACACTTCTTAGACAAAGAATTGAAGATCTAGACGGCTGAGTCTTAGAATAAGCCAATGTATAGCCGGGGGCATGTATTACGCACTGCTCTTAATCCGTATACCCTGCAGGAAGGGTCAGCGGGGATTATAGTCTACCTCCGTCTCTCTTCCTGTTGCCGACGTAACTTATCATGCCATATACTGCAAACTTCCTCTTTGTCGTAATGTTATACGAGGCGTGCAGCTACAATTACTACGGGTTATATATCTATCAATAGCAAACACATTTATTATATACTGTATGTATAAGTATTCATCTTAACACGACTTTAAAGAGAGGGCTTCATTCTACGAGTTGACTGTGTCTCTTAACTGAAGTTATGTCACACATGGCTGCCATCAACTATCGCCCCGTACAATGCTTTTGTATGTAATCTTGCCTGTTTACAGTAACTAAGGGACAGGCCTTTTTAAGAAAAATAATATGATCCTGATTTATTTTTTTAAACAGAAACAATTTGCAACAATGTAATTTTATGGAAGACAATTTCTTTTTTTCAACAGTCTGAGCATAATTATATTTTTAAAATAAATACGTTAAAATATGTTACTTTCTATTGCCCTGTCTGGCAAGTACTGACCGAGTCAGTGTACTGTGTCTGTGTCCGTGTTACACTGCGGCATGGTATCCGATCAGTTGGACAACCCAATGCAGCCATACACAAACAGCCACACACACACGTGTATGCAATGTAAATGATTCAGAAATAATCTTGAACACGACGTTTAACACTATCTCAACAATATATTTTGTTTCTCCAAAACAGTTTTGGCCTTCCCGCTTCTCAAAGCGCTGGAATTCAAACAGCATCTACAACTTCTTTGACACCAACAACAACGACGACAGCTAGACAATGTCCACCGGGTGAGAGATGGAACAGACCCAGGACAGTCAGGTAAGGTTTCAGCTTCCCCATCCAGACACTCCACAAACCACCAACATATGTATTATACGCTCTAAGTAATGATCTTTATCAGAGGGCCACGGGTAGCCCAGTCGTTTAAGGCGCCACAATTCGCTGTTTGAGAAATTCGAGTTGAAACCTATGATAGTGAGTTCCAATCCCGGTTCTCCCCGATTACATTTCTAGGTTTGTCAGCACCATACCCATGCACGTGGGATTCACCGAAGTGGTAAATGTCTGAGACCTGCATCACTTCGGGCTTTCCTTACACATAAAGCTGACACGCCCTGATAAAACTGGAATATTATTCAAAGCGGCGTTAAACCCAACTCACTCACTCTTTACCAGACACTGAACTCAAAATGGCTTCCATTCGATACGGTAACGCCATGACCTCGCCCTGTGCTAAGGTTACGTCTGTGGTTTGTCCTTCGCCCGCTAACGTTGTCTCCCTCCGCCAGCTTCCTGGAGTGTCTGTGTGAGGTGGGAGGCGCGGACCATCAGCCATGTATCCTCAGACTCAGCAACGTCCTGGGAGCCTTTTCCGGAATGGTCATACCGGCCATTCTTCCTCGACTGACCGGCACCGACGTCGGCTTCCTCTATCTCTGGACATTTGAGGGTAAGCCAGCATGACATCCAAGTTTCCTCACCAACAAAAAGATTATAACTCTTGCCTGAATCCAAACTTCTAACGAAAACCAGCAAAACTATTTCAAGTCAATTACTGGTCATATGTAAACCATAATGTTTGGTTATATACAGCTGCAAGAAATGAGTATTTGTAACATTCACACCAATAGCTTATAAAATGTTTTAATGATTCCTTCTGACAGTAAGTGACATATAAATGAATCGGGTGGTCAGGCTCTGTGACTTGGTGGATTGCGAATCATCGATCCCGGACGCCTTGAGAAGCTGCTCAGTAAATCAATCACTGGATTTACACCAGATAGCCCCGACTCAGTCATATAATACTAGCTCTGTTATAGTTGGAGTAGTGCTTACTGTAGTTGAAACAACAAACAAACCCTATTAATGATGTTACAAAAGTACAAAATCTCAGGGCTTGGCTATTAAAGGCTATTAAGGCTTTTCTATATATTCCAGGCTTTCAGTGCAACCCCTTCATGGGGATGGGTGGTTTGAGCATTGCGTGTTACCATGACGTCGGAAATTCCCCTTTCTCCAGAGACTGTCGGTGAGCGTTCGCTGGAGGGCCTGGGTAGCAACATGCGTTGCCACGAAGCGTGGAAAGGATTGCTTTAGAACACCTTAGATTTTACTAGACATGATCTTTTTTAAATCTTTAAAAACAAGTATGTTCATGTCTGTCAGGGAGGACAGAATACGTTTCAATATAAAAACCTCGCAAGTGCGGACCGGAACAATATTATTCTGGGCCATCTCTGTAAAGGGAGATTACTCAGTGTCAATTTGTCGTGAATATGGATATGTGTTGAACTTAATAAGATCGATTGGGCATGTTTTTAATAAATTTACAATGTCAGACAATAATCTTTATTTGGAAATCTATTTTGACTGTTTCCTTTTCGGGTAAAATAATCTAAGAATCTACTTATCGACCCTTTTAGAATAGTTTAAGAAATATTCTAACCTGATTATGTGAAAGGTCTGTCATTAAGGACTTGTACTCTTTGTGTAGTTTCAGCAGGTCCCGTTATTTCTGTGAGTTGCTGATTTGCATCGACACCGTCCTCGGCGACACAAGGAGTGCCCCGCAAGACTTCCTCAACTGTGAGCATCAGTCCTTGACATTCACATTGAACACTGTATTGGTTACATATTGCCTATTAGTCCTACTAGATGACACTGTTTGACATTCACATTGAACACTGTATTGGTTACATATTGCCTATTAGTCCTACTAGATGACACTGTTTGACATTCACATTGAACACTGTATTGGTTACATATTGCCTATTAGTCCTACTAGGTGACACTGTTTGACATTCACATTGAACACTGTATTGGTTACATATTGCCTATTAGTCCTACTAGATAATACTGTTTGACATTCACATTGAACACTGTAATGGTTACATATTGCCTATTAGTCCTACTAGATAATACTGTTTGACATTCACATTGAACACTGTATTGGTTACATATTGCCTATTAGTCCTACTAGATAATACTGTTTGACATTCACATTGAACACTGTATTGGTAACATATTGCCTATACAGTGTTTGACATTGCCTATACACTGTTTGACATTCACACTGAACACTGTATTGGTTACATATTACCAATTAGTCCTACTAGATAACACTGTTTGACATTCACACTGAACACTATTGTACTTATTTCCCATTAGACCTGCTAGATAACACTGTTTGACATTCTCGTCGGTACAAATGAGGAAAGAAATCCTAGGACTGAAAGGGCATGTGATTTTCTAACGGGTGTTAATTATTCTTTTGTGCAGGTGTACGGAGGATAGCCGTACCTATCAACAACACGCCAGTCAACTCATGGCCGCCACCCCGAACACCCCACCCACCTATCATCATCACCCAACGACACACAACCACCACAGAAGAACCTGCTGTGACGTCATCATTGCGTCATGATGACTCCGACCACGCCAACAACGTTGATTACGACCACGATGAACACGGATCACTGGGCGATGAGCACTACAAGTATGGTAGGACTCGTTAAGGATGCTGTCTGAAAACATGTCATCTGCAATTCCTCTTTACCCATTATTATCTCTTCAGAAAGTTCTAATTCACAACTCTATTTGTGAGTGAGTGAGTTTGATTAAACCCTGTTTTTAGCAGTATTCCAGTTATATCACGACGTGTCAGCTTAATGTGGGAGGAGAGCCCGCAGTGATGCAGGTTTCAGGCGTTCACCACTTTGATGAAACCCACGAGCACGGGTATGGTGCCCAAGGGGCAGTACTCTGCACAGCGAATTCTGGCACCTTTGACGACTGGGGCACCCCCACCCCACCCCTTTGTTTTACATAATGGTTGATCTTGATTTCTTGTGTCCCCCTTCAGATATTATTCGAATTGTTGGCGGCGTGTTTGGCGGCGTCATGACCGGCATATTCATCACCGCTGTCATCTTCATCGTCTGCTGGTTTTCGAAACGGAGGAGGTAATTTTCTTTCTCAAATATCTCGTATTCTCGTTGAATGCTAAGCCCTAGGCAGGAATTGTCAACTGAGTCTTCAATGTTTGTGGAAAAGGCTTACCGAATCATTTGGATAAAAATACATTTGGAAAGACGACTTATCTCGTATTCGACAGTGAAGAATATCATAAACGACGTTAAGACATTTAACCTGTTACATCGAGGATGACTTGAGAGATATGTTATGTGAAAGCGTGAACGACCAAATGTAGTACACAACCAGTTCAGCACAGTTTCGAACCAACGTTCATCTGTTGGATATCTCAAATACAAGATGTTTCTCAGGGAGCAATGTCAAATTGTTACATGTAATACTAGTTACGGTGACAACAATAGTCATACTCTGGTAATATAACAGACATTCTGCATTTCAGAGCAAATTCTACATCCTCTTCACCTCGGCCCAGGATGTCAGTCCGTAAACAAGAGTCTGCCATTTATGCTGAAGTGGATGATAATGTATGTAGCGTAGTGTGTCGGAGACCTGAGATTGAGTCGAGATTGGGGGCCTGTCTAGAAATGAAATACAGTATACGGTGCGGTTGGGAATCTATTCCAGCCTAAAAAGCTCCATTCACAAGACTAAACCCCCTTAACCCGCCAACATAAGAATAAAGAATAAAATGGTGCTGATGGCACAAACTGTAGCAAACGCAGCACCTTAGTGAAATTTATACATCTTAGTGTAAAAGTTTTCATGACTCCTGTAGAAGGAAAGTATAAGTTTTTATATAATTGCAATGAATGTTTGATTTCAAGATTTAAGGCTTATTACACTGACATATTCTTGATTTCAAGGGTTCGGACACCGGCCTCTGCAATGCTGGCTATCTTGCTCGCCATGCTCCTGATATCATCAGCGTTGTTGGCAACAAGTCCGCAGCCGACGACGCCTCCTACAATACCCTTAATAACATCAACATCTCCCCGGGGGCACGAGGATACCTGGGGCGCCCCCTGTCGGTAGACAGTCAACAGTACTCGACTATAACGGACCAAGACACGTTGTCCAAGCGGTCGTCTCGAAGCAGCGTCTACAACAAGCTTAGAGAGGATGGGAAGAGCACCGCCAGCGAGCACGTGTACCACCGAGCACAGTTCCCTCCCTATGAGGAGTACCAACCTGCGGCGGAGGAGTATGACTGTGGCGCCAAGAAGCACAACAACTGTGATGGTCCCCAGAAAACCATCATGAAGAAACAACCTTCTACCAGCTCTATAAAGAAGAGGGTGTACTTCACCCTGGAACCGATGGAGTTCTCGGGAAAGGCGATCGACAAGATGTAAAGGCTCTTTGAAGCATCACTGACACAACGTTATTGAATGCTAAGCCCTAGGCAGGAATTGTCAACAGAGTCTTCAATGTTTGTGGGAAAGGCTTACCGAATCATTTGAAAAAATACATTTGGAAAGACGACTTATACTCACTTACCTTTCGTTTTAACGCCCCTTTGATAATGTAGTTACACGGGAATCCCTCCATACACCAGACACGCTTTTCTGTTTTTCGAACTCCGTGTACATGTAGTCAATAATGTGCCCAATTGTTCGTTCAATGTTTGAACACTTCGATATTCGCGTAATCAGATGATTGATTTTTCCCTTCAGAATTTGAATCACCAAATGTGATAGGTTTGGGGTCCCGCGAAGGCCCCTGTATCACAAGCCAACAAAGGCTCAGTTGTCAAAGTCGATATACAGAGAAAAGGCCCAGAGGACCCATCGTGCTTTGGTTCAATTTCTGGATTATCGTTCTTGGTTTGTTAACACCATATCGGTGTATGTGGGTTTCTTCAAAGGTGTTGACGTTATCTTTGCTGTCCCCTCTCAATGATGTAAGCATCGTAATTCTATTGAAACTCGTTTAAAGTGCGCGGTAAACCTCACGCCATGGAAAGCGTGCTTTTGTCACCTGAACATCTACATTGTTATGCGTCGTGTTTCAGTCACTGGTTTCCGACAGGATGATAAAATCACATGCCCAGCAACGTGTTGGCGAAATGGTATACACAATAATATAACATACAACACACTATATACGCGACTACACGAAACATACCCACCAAGATAGCCTGCCTTTTTAGACTACTTTTCTGTTTGATTGTTACAGTTCATTCAGATGATCTTTACAATTGGGTAATGGATGATGTTTTACTATTTCATTTTTATGTCTGTTCACTTCTAATCTGGCTGTGCAATATATACATCCATTGCTTCTGTTCTGCGGGCATATGTGCAATGAATACTGAATTGTGAATTAAACATATTTCAGTCTCTGGTTCTTTTGTTATTCCTGTGCCGGTGTTAAGCCTGACATGGCATATTTCACTGTATTTGACTGATTGCAACTGATTACATTGCAGTGAAAATATCAACTTTTTCATTATGTGTGCTCAACTAGTTCCAGCTGTATAGCAATCAGTGGTATCCTGCCTAGGGGATTTTCTACTATCACATTGGCATTTCTTTCGTGAGCAATTATTCCGAAATCAAACTTTTTGAAACCCTATCAATATATTTTCAAAACTTAAACAATTTTGCACAATCATTAATACTACAGCCTAACGCACAGCCACTGGTACTACAGCCTAACGCACAGCCACTGGTACTACAGCCTCACGCACAGCCACTGGTACTACAGCCTCACACACAGCCACTGGTACTACAGCCTCACACACAGCCACTGGTACTACAGCCTCACACACAGCCACTGGTACTACAGCCTCATACACAGCCACTGACACTACAGCCTCACACAAAGCCACTGGTACTACAGCCTCACACACAGCCACTGGTACTACAGCCTCACACACAGCCACTGGTACTACAGCCTCACACACAGCCACTGGTACTACAGCCTCACACACAGCCACTGGTACCAGTCTCCTGTCAAACGACTGGTACTACAGCCTCACACACAGCCACTGGTACTACATCCTCACACACAGCCACTGGTACTACAGCCTCACACACAGCCACTGGTACTACAGCCTCACACACAGCCACTGGTACTACATTATCCACCGCCACTAAAGCCTTACGCACAGCCACTGCTACGACATCCTTTGACATATCCACTGTTACTACAGTCTTCTACATAGCCACTGGTACTACAGCCTCAGACAGAACACAATCCATTACAGCTTCACGAACAACCACTGTTAGTATACGCGCACTTTTTCACCGTTACAAACAAGGGACGGAAAAGAACTATTAATATTAATTTCTTAACAGATTTGCCTTTTTGGAAAAGGTTAATACGTCTATATGCAACATACATCAAGTTTGGTACCCAATTGGTTAAATAAATCTGTCGTTTTTCACCCCGAACACAATTGCTACAATGTGCCCTTAACCGTGATAGTATTGGAACATTGAAACGGCGTAATATTTGTTGATCTTAACATATCGAATCGTATTTTATCAGTTCAAATCTACACATTGAATATCAAAGTCGTCTACAGACATAGAGAGTTATGGATATTTATCGTGACGTTTAAGGAAAAGGTAGCCATCAATTCTAGCGCTTTATGACAGCCTAATGGAAATACATTTGGCTGGGGTATCTACCAGTCACGATCTTCCTCGGTATGCCTTTGCACAATTCATCAGAAGAGATTGCATGTCACCGTCTACATTCTGTGTCATCAGAGCGTTTCAGTCGTCAACACGAAGTGGCAAATCGATCAGTATTATGAGCACCGAGGACGTCCCTTAACCGGTCTCTCGTGCTCGATGAAGGCAGTAGGCGTTATATGGCGTGTGCAGTGAAGCTGGTTTGTTCCAATCCCAGGTGAGTTTCTTTCTGAAATCTTCAGACGTTCCCAGAGCTCTCTCATATTTACCATCTGGACTGTCTAACGTCGATAGTCACACACATCGTGTAAGGGACCGACCATGTGATATTCGGGTGGGACTGGGGTTGGGATTTTGTCTGAAGATTATTTATTTTGTTCAATTACAGCTGCAAAACCAAATATCTTTTTAAGTTAAAACTATGTGCCTCAATATATTTCAAGAAAAACACAATGCAAACATTTTTTTTTGTGGCAGACAAGTTTTTTTTCTAGTCTTAAGCATAAGTTATTTTTCTTGAACAATTTATTTTTTTCGATAAAATCCCCAAATGAGAGAGAAAACCGTTAAACTCGTACCACGTGCTATGTCAAATAAGCTTTAGTAATTCATGTCTTGTATCATATGTTTATTCATTTCAGCATCCTGAACAACAAATGGATCGTCTCTACATATATCTGGGTATGGTAAATGTGTACATCTTTTTAGTGTGACAGGGTGATAGGGTTTTTGTGGTGAGTGGAAGGCAATTCTTAGGCAATTCAATAATATAGTGGTTTAAATGCACTTTTCATGACTTGTTTTTCTCTTTTAAACGTTTTGTTTGAAGGACATAAAGAGAAACTCAACAGAGTGTTAAATATATATCAACACAAGTCAATTAAGGTAGCAAACCTCCATGCTTTAATAATCTAATAATTAAGTTTATTACTAACTAATAAAATGCATTATTTTGGTAATCTTACATTATTCCAATTCAAGGGGCCTTCTCCCCCTGTTTTTGTGGTCAAGGGTCAAAGGGAAGCTACTCTTCCTGGTTTAATAGTGCAAGGCACATTATTAGTGTATTATTCAGTCTTTGCTCTTCACATGCACTAAACAAAGGGAAGTAATCCATGTTTCAGCTGAATTTAGTTGCTACATCCTCTTTTCATTCACACAACCACACCAGTAACACGCTTTTTATTTCCACACGTAAGTTTTGTCAATTTTGCTGGGAAGAGAGATGTCGGGTCGCCGGAGAAGCAAGCGGAAGGGTAGTACAACAAGCAGGCAGTCGTCGCAAGCAAGGGGGTCTGCTCAGAGGCGTCGAGGGTCGCAGAAAGTTGCTCCAAACAATGCGACGCCTGATAGTGCTGTTCTTAGAGACGGGGAAAATGGCGACAGCAGCATGGCCGAAGCAGAGGTCCACGTGGTCCCAGAGGCTATCGACGAGATAACGCCTGTTACCACTACTCCTTCAGGAGGTGAGTCGATGCAAATTGGTTTTATCCTAACAATACATATACCCCGTCAGTTAACTCAAAAATGTATTCTCCCGGAATTTCAAATCATGTCCCTCAATCCCAGTGTCATAACAATGCACCTAGCGTGGTTAGTAACCCAAATCATGTCCCTCAATCCCAGTGTCATAACAATGCTCCTAGCATGGTTAGTAACCCAAATCATGTCCCTCAATCCCAGTGTCATAACAATGCTCCTAGCATGGTTAGTAACCCAATTGCTCCTCCTAATTCGCAAGGCATTCCCATGTTTCAAAATGTTGACATGTTAAATATGCCACCACCTACAACAACACAAAGTGTGGATGATAACCTGGGTTGTAATGTCCCTGTCAACATTAAAAACAAAATATGGAATGGTGAGTACATCAATTTCGCACTATTGCTTAAACCAGACAGAGATTTGATGGATTATATGACAACTTCGGCAGTATTCATCAGTACAGATGGACAGCTGGAGTTGAGGCCCAAGTCTCAAGGCAAGAGAATTGAGAACATTTTTGATTGGACAACAGCTTTCACAACTTACATGAGTATTTAGGTCCAGCGCAGGATGGACATGGTTCAAGGTTTACTGAAACACATGACTACTGTCCGTTTAGCAGCGTCTCGTCATACTGGTTTGGGATGGAGAACCTATGATGAACAATATCGTCTTCGCCAGGCTCGTGACCAGTCTCTACCATGGGGAAAATTGAATGTGGAATTGTGGATGTTGTTTGTACAGACACCTTACCATCAACAGGTCAGTTCTGGGTTTTCTGGATTTCAAAAACGACACGTCAGCACATTTCAGGGAAAATTACAACGACCGGCAAACAACACATGTAACAACTTCAATCAGAGCAAGTGCTTTAGACAAAAGTGCAAGTACCGACACAGCTGTTCTGCATGTGGAAGTGATGCCCATCCAGCCTGCAGATGTACATCAGCCAGCACTCCTTCCAGAGTTATACAAGCTCGGTCGAACACCAGTCAAGACACAAGTGCTGGAACGTATGGCAAAGCATTTTCCGGATCAGGCTCAAGCTCAGTTTCTCGTTAATGGTTTCAAAAATGGCTTCAAGCTAGGATATGATGGTCCAGTGGTAGGTGCTATGGCAAGAAATCTCAAATCTGTGGAAAATAATCAGTTTATGTCACACTTAAAAATCCAAAAAGAGTTGGACTTGGGTAGAATAGCAGGCCCATTTGACTTCCCTCCTCTACCAAATTTTAAGGTTTCACCGCTCGGATTGGTCCCTAAGAGCACTCAAGGAGATTATAGGTTAATACACCACCTATCTTTTCCAGAAGGTCAGAGTGTAAATGATTTTATTGATGAAAGTTTGTCTTCAGTTCAGTACACTACATTTGACCAGGCAGTTCAAATGGTTCAGCATCTAGGGCAGGGAGCTTTACTGGCTAAAGCCGATGTAAAGAGTGCTTTTCGCTTAATGCCTATCTGGCCAGGAGACTTTAGGTTATTAGGTTTTACTTTGGAAAACAAATTTTACTTTGACAAATGTTTACCAATGGGTTGTGCAGCAAGTTGCTCTTTGTTTGAAAGATTTTCAATCTTTATTGAATGGGCTTGAGCACGAAGATTCAGCAATGGAAAAAGCATGCATTACCTTGACGACTTCCTTTTTGGGGGTAAAAAAGCTACAAACCACTGCCAAATCTGGATTCATTCATTTCGGTATGTGCTGATCTTGGTGTACCAATAGCTACAGAGAAGACAGTGGGGCCAACAACAAAGCTAACATTTTTAGGCTTGGAACTAGATTCAGTCAACATGTGTGTGCGTGTGCCGGAGGAGAAGCTCTCTTATTCGTTAGATGCTATAGACCAATTTTTGGCACGTTTAAAGGTTAGATTAAAGGAAATGCAGTCTTTACTTGGTTTACTTAATTTCCTGTGCAACGCAGTTCCATCAGGCAGATGTTTCCTCCGACGAATGATTAATGCAACATGTGGTAGGAAGCCTCACCACCACATAAGATTGACAAAGGACATGAAGAGTGACCTAAGAGTTTGGCAGAGATTTTTGAAGGAGTTCAATGGAGTTTCCATAATGAGATCAAGGTTTTGGGCTTCAAATGCTGATCTGGATTTTTATACTGACAGTGCTGGTGGACAAGGCAAAGGTTTTGGTATTTATTTTGCCGGACGATGGACCTGTGGACCTTGGCCAAATCATTGGGT